AAATTCTAAGAAAATACATGCCATCACTTCACTGAGAGACGATCCTATTATTATAAATTATTATTAACTGTGAAATAGATTCTAATTATTTTAGCTATTGGTAAGTAGAGGCTTATGTTTGATTGTATTAGATGCTTTTTTAACTGATTTAAGCATTTTTTTAACCGGGACATTACATTAAAGTGATTTTATATCTAAACCGGCCATGACTTTGTCAGTCATATTTGTTTCTCTGAGCTTTTTTCCCAAAGTTGCCTGAAATTTTATATTTGATGGACTTATTATTATGAAAACTGAAAACATATCTTAGTACAGACTTCATAGATTATAACTCTAGAACACCCCAAATTTAGGGTCTCCCTAAAACCCACCAAACTGTTATCCCTGTGCCACATCATCTCAGGAATGGTCAAAGTCACAAAAATTTTAGCAAAAATTTAAACTCTCTCCTAAGAACAATATATTCAATGATAATGTTATTAAGTTTATCAGACAATATGAAAGGGACTTACTTAAAATAGACAAAACTTGTCTATATTAATTAATGAAACATGCATTCATGAAAAATTGCTGCCTAAATATACACAATATTTATACATATATATCTATCTCTCTCTATATATATCTATATCTATCTATCTATCTATCTATATATATATATATATATATATATATATATATATATTAAGATATTTTTATGTTTATACATTCTTTTTATAGATACAAATATTTAAGTAAATGCTCTATTTATAATAAATATTTACCGGCCTGAATGTTGTTTAATAATGTTTATTATAAAACAGAGCATTTACTTAAATATTTGTATCTATAAAAAGAATTAAAAAGAATTTATAAACATAAACATGTCTTAAAATAATTGTCGGACATATATATATATATGAAAATTTCTCAGAGTTAACCTCAGAGTTAGAAAAGAGAATATTTTTAAATATAAATGACAATAGGAAAACTGTAATAGGTACCGATGCGTTTCGTCCAATGTGGACTTTCTCAAGGCAAAACGAAATGAATTTATTTAAACAAAGTAACTAATAATAACAAAAAACAAAATGTCCTTAGCAACTGAAAGTATTTAGAGAACGCTATTTTCATTCTGTTAAATGAAAATTACGTCAATTACTGTCACGTGTAGAGATATTTTTATTATTGCCGTGTTGACGGATTCAACAATTTTCTTTTGATTTTACGATATTGTTGTGTACATTTGTTTGGTAGAGCTGTAATTCTGTTAAGAAAGGTGAAATAGGGAAATATATTAATCTACGCCCAGGCTTTTTCGGAGGACAAATATTTTCTATGAAAATTTCTCGGACATTCATGTCGGTAAATGTTGGTTAATACTATTTATTATAAACAGAGCATTTACTTAAATATTTGTATCTATAAAAGAATATATATATATATATATATATATATATATATATATGTGTGTGTGTGTGTGTGTGTGTGTGTGTGTGCGTGTGACCTACCTGACAAACTGAGCATGGGGCTCATGGCCGGAAACCAAACATTCTAACTACTCGGCGAGTGAAATTCATTAAATACAACTATTTGAGAGATGTAGATAGATGTGCTAGCACAAAAACAAAAGTCATCGTGACCGAGAGTTTGAGCGTACAGTCATTGTTCAGACAGTTGATCGTGTCATATGATGCACTCTCTCACTGAAACTAAGGTTCACTCAGTATAGTTGTACTATAAGCCATACGTTGGCTTTGTGGGTGTTCATCAGGCGTCTGCAAGAAGGTTTGACTAGCCTCCTTAGTAGACAGAAATATTCACCTATGAGCCGCCAGCCAAGAATATATATATATATATATATATATATATATATATATATATATATATATATAATATAATTATACTCGTCTGGAAAAACTTTAAAGACATTAGTCCCATTTCATCCTCAAGCAATGGAACTAATGCCTTTAATTTAATCACAAAATTAAATTCAGGGATTTTAGCTTCCATTTTTGAAACATGGTTAGAACTGTGTAGCGAAAAAAAGCATATTTAAATCAATTATTTATTATATATATATATATATATATATATATATATATATATATATATATATATATATATATATTGCATTTGCAGTCCTTTGATGGTTAAGAAAACTAGAAAGAAACGCGCCTTATTTCTGCCGATAAATACTGTGAATATCACGAACAGATAACATGAGTAAGGTAGAAACTTTCAGAATATTGTATTAATTTCAGTTAATATCCACTCTAACTGCCACCAGCCTTAAACCGTTAGTTAGGTACTTACTCTTGCAGTTGGTCGCTTATGAGTTCTAGCTGCACTTATGACCCAACAGTTATGGCTCCGTGCCAAAATTGTGCAAATTTAATAGATATTTAATTTAGACACGTGTTGTTCAGTGATGGTCAACAAATAAGTCTAGTAAGTTAAACCATTTGCTCAATCGATGCCCTCCGATTTTCTTATGCAGGATTATTGAATACTGTATGTTGACACCTGCAATAAATCACTGCTTTGCAAGTTACATTGTAAACACTTGCTATTTTTTTCTTAACTTTACTGTCTTACAGTCAAGTGATGTTGATAGCAGAGTTTGTCTGTATTTTTTGTTTTATATGCCATTTCATTTATGATCAATTTATTCTATGTTTCTTCCTGTTTCGCTTGCTTTTATTATGCACTGTTAGTCTTCAATTCTCGAAACTTTCTTCAAATTTCAACTGTCTCTTTCTGATTGTTAATTCTTGGTTAATCTTGGTTGATCATTTCCATGAAGCCCTCCCAGTCATCACATTTGTCCGATGTAGAAATATATTCCTTGCAAAATTCCTCACCACTATATTCCTCACAAATTTGCTCGCCACTATATTACTGTTGTGGTCGACGAGAGAGAAATTTTTTTTCTTCCGTGTGAGTTCGAAGTCCTCGTCGCCAAGTTGTTGTAGATTCCGGGTTGAAATCCGGTACCAATAAATAACAAACTCAGGAATGAATATATGAAAATAATGTATTAACTGGTAAAGCAGGTTAGTAGTTCAGGAATACGGGTTAGTAGCACAATATATATATATATATATATATATATATATATATATATATATATATATAGTCTTTGGTATTGAAGTATCGCTGTATGACTTCTTACTGTGTCTACGTGCTTGCTCACTGTGACTTCTAGAACGCTGTTACCTCACCGGTTAGCTACAACCTTTTACTCTGTCCTCTGGATTCGACTTTTCGGTGTTGCTCTCTCGGGTCTTCACGTAGCCGTAGTATATGTATATACTGGATGAGTCTATTTGTGTAAAAAGGGGAGAACCCCTTAACAATTACTCACAAAACTAATTGTTGAAATATCCGTTTCGCACTACTTATTCACTCATCTTCGACGTTTCTCTTTCTGAAATTTTACCTAAAGATATTAATTCGGTTATTTTCTTACGTACCTCCAATTTTCTTTATATTCGGCATTTTTCTCTTTGTTTACTTTCTTAACATCAGCTCAGCTTCTTGAAATATTCTTGTAGTTGTATAGAAAAAAAAATAGACTGTCAACTTATAGTCTGCAATAGATTTCTTCTGTCTCTCGACCGCAACACTTGTAGCCAAATCACAGTTCAAACGATAGTCCATCGTAACAGTTCAACAGGCAACATAGAAAACGACAAAATCGGGTCACACATCAAACCTACACTTCTCACCAGCAAAAACGCCTGTTCGTCCACCAAGCTCAGGAAATTCAAATCTCTCATATAAACGAAAAACAACGGCTTTTCTTTACCGAAAGATATTTCTGACTGATCACGCCCTTCAGGGGAGGGAAGAACATTAGCATAGATTCTGGTCCTTAAAGTAGATTTTTGCTAACTACTTTTTGGTAATTTTTCTTCAGCAGATCGCACACAAAACTCTTCTTCAAGGTAGCTGATTATCTCTTTCACTACAATTCTCTTGCTGTCAGTCCACTTTTATTGCTTTTTGCCGTTTTTGTGCGTCTTAAAGCAAGTTCCTATTTCTTTCTCTTATTTCATAAATGGTTGCAATTTCATTTTTTTATTCTGTGACAATTCTGTGATTCTTTTCACAATCTCCAAAGATGTTTAATCATTACTCTTTTGTAATATATTGTTTCTCTGTTGCAGCTATTTTTTGGTTTGGTTTTTGTCTTACGGCATATCAACCTCAATGGGTTATTTAATGCCGACAACTTTTTTTTTCCTAATAATCTTTTTTATTTTGTCAAAGACCTATTTCTGGGAATATTATTTTTCTCATAATTTTATAGCTGGTAATATTTTTTCAAAAATGTATTGCTGGTAATATTTTTTTTTCAAAAACGTATTGGTGGAAATATTTTTTTTCAAAAACGTATTGATGGAAATATTTTTTTCTTCAAAAATTTATTTCTGGTAATATTTTTTTACAAAGTATTTCTGGTATTAAAACCAATTTTTACACTTTCATAATACTTTTACCTCAGTTTCGGGGTTAACTATTTGCCAATAACTGGGACCCTAACAGGTGTTACTACCCCGGGTCAGGGTGAGTCTGGGAACACCCGCAAATAAAAGGTGGTTCCACGCTTCTCAAAGCCTCTTGATCAGAGGCCTTGCTGTTGGACGTAGTTTATCGTCTTATCTGGAAGCGGATGTTGTTTATCGTCATACCCAGGACGTCTATCGCAGCTATGTTAGAAGAATATATAGATCTGGTGTACGTTACGTTTGGAAAATTAACAGATCTGGAATACGTTGTGTTAGAAGGATTTACAGACCTGGAATAGGTTACGTTAGAATAAGTCACAGATCTGGAATAGGTTACGTTAGAAGAATTTAAAGATCTGGAATAGGTTGCATAAGAAACATTTACAGATCTGTAAAGAGTTACGTCAAAAGGATTTACAAATGTGAAATAAAAATAAATACCACGAATAAGAATCTGATATATATATATATATATATATATATATATGGTCTGACGATTGCATCCAGCATGAAACAGACTGTCGCCTGTAAGTGTTGATTTCTATGTTATTTTATATATATATATATATATATATATATATATATATATATATATATATATATATATTCCGTGGGATGGCAACTGGTTTAGAAGAAGGACAACTCTGAATTTAAAACCTGTGAAAGGTTGTTTGGGGAACTTGTGGCATACTGTGCACCGGGTCTCTGAATTCGGTCCTTCCAAAATCC